TCGTGCTCTTGTTATAATGATCACAGTCCTGCTGCAGATTATAGCCCGAATGCTTGTGTGAACACGTTTAATTTTGAAGCCAGGGACACGCATACATACAGGCAGACATAGGCGTGGAGTCGAGCACGTTAATGACATTAAAATAAACCAACAACAGGCGCTGCTGGTGCAGCAGGCAAGCATTCGCTGTTGGGGATGCCCTCCCACTCCAAGAGATCATGTGCACATTGCTGAGATGTGTAAAGCATGTCATGCTCTTGAACCCCCCCCCCCTCCAACCCCCTATTGATGGATAACTCCTGGATATGCCATTGTCATGGGAGAAGAAGCGATGGACTGCTCATGTGATGAATATTACCGTTGGTATTTCCCGAGAATACTGGGCCCTGACAAGACAGAGATGGAAGACAAACGATAAAACGGAGAGCAGACAGAGAGGGACAGGGTTACTTACAGGCTAACAAACCTTAAAGAGGCTGTCAATGAGCTAAGCAGCATTATGTAATGTTTGTATATGTATATGATAGTGATAGTTGGATGTTGGTCCAATATGAAAAGATAAGCAGATAAGTATTATCAAATGATATGGATATGATATTTAAAAAACAGGTTTTTATTTAAGGTTATGCAAAGCTAGAGAAAAAGAGATCATTGAAAGACAGAGATGAAAAGGGAAAGGTACATATTATGTACAAGCACGTAACATGAGAGAGAGAGAGAGAGAGAGAGAGAGAGAGAGAGAGAGAGAGAGAGAGAGAGAGAGAGAAAGAGAGAGAGAGGGGTAGAGAGAGAGAGAGGGGGAGTGGGGGGAGATAGAGAGAGAGAGAGAGAGTGTGTGTGGAGGTGGGGAGGGGGGCAACAATTGGATAGACAAAGAAAGGAACAGAACTTATGAGCCCATTATATAGAATGAGAATGGGAGTCAGAGAGAGAGAGAAAGAGAGAGAGAGAGAGAATTAGATAAAGATGGATAGACTGGTAGACTGCAGAGAGAAGGAGAGAGAGAGCGAGAGAGTTTCACAGCTGGAGGAGACAGACAGACAGAGAGCATGAGATGGGGTGAGATGTTGTGACCGAATGCTTGGGATGTTTGCTGGGTCAGATACAGGATGAGGACGCCGAGTACATCCACACACCACGCCGTGCTAGCTACACTGTAGCTTACGTATGATGACGAAACCCCGACCAATCCCTATTAAGCCTCCAGGGTCTCAGGGCTGTAATGATACTGTCCCGTCAAAAAAAAAATCCTCAGTTTGTGCTCATTTCAAAGTCGCGGAGACCAGAGGCTGATTCATGAGTTTGTGAGGTGGAGGAGGAGGGGGGGGGGGGGGGGGGGATTACAAAATGCGGACCTTGTGGCACAATGATAATATGCCACACAAGTTATCCAATAAAGCCTGCAATACTGAATTATTAGGGCAAATGTTGTTAATTGTGTACTTGAGGTATGCCAGTTTGGTTTCAAAAGGGAAAAACAGGGCGAGGGTGCTCCCCCCTCTCCATCAAGCCATCCGTAATTATTTTATCCTCCCATCTTATATGTAGACCTATGGATTTATTAATGGCAAAGAACGGCAATCATTCAAATCTGAAAGGAATTTTGTATAATAAATAACTTCCTTTCAAAATGTATACTTTTTAGAGATTGTATTCCATCTATAATCAATATAAAGTAGATTTTAATGTATTACTGTGATACGCATTATATTCCAAAGTAATTAAAAGCATCACGTTACATAGCTGTGATGCATTATTGTTTATAAACTGAAATTGTTTATTTTATCCATCTTAGGCTTCTGACAAAGGTCCCAATAATTCATTTTAGATCACTGTACTTTGAGATGATTACAAAACTGAATATAACAAAAAGAAATTGTCCAGGTTATATTTCTCGAGTATCGTACTCAAGTGGGTCGTTGCTTTGTGAAGCGCTTTGCATTCAATTATATCCACTGACGAGCTAGAAGAAGCATGCAGCTCTTCAACACAGGCGGTCGACCATTAGTCTACCCCTTTGCCAGACCCATTCGAAATAAGAATTTATGGCAGTGGCGGATTTGGGGATTACAACCGGCCAATGCCCCTTGAAAAGCCATGCGGCATACCCCTAGTAAACAAAGCAAAATGTCCCATTAACATTTTCGACCAAAAAGACATCTGAAAAATAATATTTGTTGTTGTTGCGTATTTATCATAATTTTCCAGTCCCCCCCTTAAAAAATCAGAGGTTCGCCCCTAATTTAAGGAAATAGATCATGGAAGAAAAGTGTGCAGTCTCGTGTTTGCAAAAACCTTGACGATTATTCTCCAAAGTGTTAATGATTATATTGGTTTTTGGTTAGGCCATCAATGTTTTTAAATGTTTGGCACAACCTAAAAGTCTTCGTACTGCATGATGCAATTTTTCTTTTCTTCATCCCTGCATATTTTATCTCCTTCCACGTTCACTGCAGGCAGACAGGCACGTAGATGTGTTATTAAAGTCTATAAATATACCAGCCCTGATATGTCGGGGGAGGGTTGAGTGGTGTTAATGATGTGAATACCCGACCATCTTGGCACCGTCAATAAAGCATCGGCTTTTCATCTAACATCGATGTCACCCCCTGTCAGATATAGGAGTTCACTACACTTTCAATACCCCAAACCCACCTACTATACAGCTGTAGCGAGGTGAAAATGACATTTTAACGGATCACTCTGGTCAAAACCATTCATAGGACGATTTGTGGTAGTAAAGCTTCGATCAAAATTCTTGGATAAATTTATAACAATGTGTCCTCCACTTTTGTTGTTGTCGTTGTTGTTGATGTTGTAGTTGTCGTTTTTTTATGGGTAAATTGAGAACAATGAGCTTTAAATACTCATTCTATTTTGCCTGACTTACTAATCACGAAGGAATGTATCATTTTCCGTAAAGAGTAAGTTTAAAGAACATGATTGATGACGTCAGATACAAAATAAGTAATAATGAGTATTGAACAGGAAACAAAATAATGTGAACACTGCCTGTCGATCATAGAGGTGCCCCCCCCCCCCATTTTCTTGATGTCTGGATACACCATTGGAAAAAATATATCGATCTGACTACGGTCTGATTTTTGACGAATTTGCAATAAAATTTTATGCGAGCATTAAATAGGATCTTAATAGTCACACGATTGATAAAATCTAATTTTCAAGTAATTTCAAGCTTCACCGGGGAGAGGAAAAGCTAAATCGGCTCAGATTCGCTATGACGTCAGACCCAGTAGTTCGATCATCTAAGGTTTGAAGCCAATTCGGCTTTTATTCCGATGAAAAGGCTTACATGCACTACAAGTTCGGTTATTAGTATTCGTATCATTGTTCAAGAACCTAAATCAGAAATATGATGTTTGCTTATGAAATTTCCTTACTAATATAACTACAATTATTTCGAAAATCGGACCGCAGGAGGGTCGTATAGTGTGCGCTGTGCATTTCGCATCTCCGGTAACTTCACATCTACCGATGACGAACAAGTACAATAGGTGCGTCGTTTCATTTCAGGATTGGAAGTCGAAAGGTACACTACAGGGTATACATATATTAATTAGTGGCAAAGCTATTGGAGCATTGGGGCGGGTGTTCTTTCCTATCGTAATGTGAAGGGGGGGCAGAGAGAAAGAGAGTGGTGGGAGCAACGTAAAGTTAATATGATGCCACCCCTTCCACTCCTTCCCTTCACTCGGTATCCTTGTTATCTTGCATTTCATCCATCTAGTACAGCATGTGCCCTAAGAACTGTCCCCCTCCCACTCCCTGTGAAAGAAATTTCACAACGGTCCCGAACTTCTTATATTATAGCAGATAGTCATACCGGTAGTGCTGAATACTGTTTCTTCCAATCTGACCATAGCATATCGAAATGATAATTATAGGGCTATTATAAAAGGCAATTTCGACCGCGTGAATTGTCCACTTAAGAATCTTGACTGCTGTAACTAAAGCCTGGGAACTTAAATGATAGGCAAAGGTGAGAGTGAGGAGGGAGGGTATTATACAAGAGCCAACTAAATTCTAAACACGAAGTCATCAAGCCCATTTTCCATCCGCGTGCATGCCTTGTCTTTGCACAGGCAACACATTATCGTTAGATTATATCAGTCAACATTCACAGCCAAGCACCATGACAACGAACCCTAACAACTAACTACTTGGTCCGACGTAGACCCCATCAATCACATTTGCTCATTTTGCATTGACGCCATTTGCTCGTGATCCAACTAGTATATTGCATCGAGACACAATGGAGTGCTTTCAATTGGCCCTTCGTTTAATTTTCTCTCGAATTTGATATTCATAAGCGTTTAGTTTCTTTGTACACCGCGAGGGAAAAAGTAGAATGCAGACCGGAGAAATGGTATTTAACATTTATACCTCGACAATAATCAGGCATGCAATTTCTCTGTGTTAATCAGGTTATGTATGCAATATTCAATTTTGAATAGTCAAAGTAAATGTGCTAACAAATTAAACAGAAAAAATTAAAGTTCCCACTTGCCGCCAGAAGGTCAAATGTGCCGACATTACCGGCGTTCGTCATTTTGATATTAACTCATTAATACATTCTGAATGTACATTTGTCATTTTGATACTTTGATACTCGCTCTCTCTCTCTCTCTCTCTCTCTCTCTGGCGAGATCTCGAGGAAGCTACTTGGTTAAGTTTTTTCAGGCCTCAAGTAGGAAAACGATTTCTGGTAAATGCTAAACATTCACAGACTATTACATGCCTTATGATAACTAATTGCAAAACAACATGCAAATGAATTGGGCAATCGGTATGACTTTAGTTACAATTAAAGGTAATGTATCAATTTGCGACATTATGGAATTTAAGAGAGCTGAGTCAAGAGCTGCTGTAGATCATGTAGGATTTAATGTTGAACTGAAGCTCGGGGGGGGGGGGGGGGTGGGGTAATTTGGTTGAGGTTCTAGCTATCCATCTAAGATGATGCTGAACTATTCACTAACCTAGACTGTCACCATCATCATCATCATCGTCGTCGTCCTCGTCGTCATCATCGTCGAATTTCTCACTCGCTTGATCTAGATCTTCATCGAGGACCTCTTCAATCAATTCCATTTCAGTCTTGACTTCTTCTTCATTCATAAGCTCTGCCTCTTTGTTGATGAAGGTGCTTTCTGCCCGCTGAAGGTCATCCCTCAGCCCAGCCATGACCGTCTGAGATTTCTTCCCAGGAAATAACTAGAACCAAGGGAAAAGAAAGAGAGAGAAAAAGATAACCCATATAACATCCACTCTCTCTCTTCTTCAGAGGATTTGTCAGATTTGTACTCAAGATATGTTTTCAAAAGAGATGATTGGCACTACAAACTCGAACGATAATGATGAAAAACTGAAAGGATTCGGCCTAAGGACTATCCAGATGCTTGTACCGTAAATCTTCTCTCTAAGTTATCTTCTTTCGATGCAAACCTGTTCTTTAAAAAAAAAAATCAGGATTCGGATTTCTATTCATTCCTCTGGCTTACTTTGGTGAGTGCTTTTCTGCATTGCTAATGTATTCTTCTATTTATATGTTTGTTTTTTATTCAACGTGGCATTCGTTTTTTAAGTCCTTTCCTTCTTCACAATTTACAAAGTAACCATAGTAACGAAATGATATGTACATATAATGGGTATATATGTCAAAGCATGGTGATATAGTCCTGGGGAGACAGTAGAAAATTATATTTGTCCATTAGCTATGCCGTAAAGCAAGGAGCTCGTTTTTACTACACATGAATGACTTTCATAGCAAAGGCAAATGTTGTTGTGTGTTTTTAGAGAGAAGAGGCGAGAAGTACAGAGGAAGATATAGTCGATGCAAATCTGAATGAAATACCTAAATTTATCGTATTTTGTCACAAATATTTGGGAATATAATTATAGTTCAAAATAGAGTTTCTTCACAAACATAAGAAATTTTTCTATCATAGTTTTACTCACATTCGTGGCACACTTGGGCATAGAAAACGGAAACTTGACGACGCGAGCGAGACACTGTATCTTGATTTTCATGTATGTCTGTGGGGAGAATAGAAGCACAAAATCAATATCATTATCCTGATAAAACATGAATATAGAGAACTGAAAAGATGATTGATGAGCCCCTGCCTGACATCGATGAAGAATGTTTATATTCTCTGTTTACCAGGAGGCATCAGATTATAGAAGGAAGAAGAAAATCTATATCAGAACCATTATATGAATCATTACATCCATCATCCCAAATTTTACCCTGTCGTATACATCAATATTGAAAGAATATCTTTAATAAGATTACGGCGATGCTCCAAATGAACTACTTCTTGTTGGGGGGGGGGGGGATAGGCTTGCTAATATGACTCTTTAAAAAAAAAGTTAAAATAATAGCTCAATAGCGCCAAGGCAAGAGGTAACTCAAGTACATTGGTTGCCGCAACATTATTGATTCAACTTGAATTTGTCTGCAAGTGTCTGAATGAACTTGTTAACATACTGACATTGCAACAACTGAAACGTGTTGGTTGCCTATCATTGCTTTCATGATGTTTTCGATTACCATGAATAAGTCGAATTGCAGATTTATGTACTGAGACCAAACCCCTTGATTTACTATGCATTCCTCCCCAGGCTTCTCAAGTTTAGTAGATAAGTGGCTACTACAAAATATTAAAAAAAACTAACCGTAGCTCAGTATACTGGGTGACAGACTAGTGAATAGGGAAGGCTGACGAATGATTCTGATTATGTCGGCAACACAAAGTTTATCGGTAGTTGAAAATGGATGAACTATGAATATGTATGGCATCCCGGGAGTGTGTTTAAAAAATTGAAGAAGTTCAGTGATTTTTTTTCCTTCTCCTTAACCAATATTTTATTCCTGAGACAGTTTTCAATATCAAGGGATTTACAAAATGTGAATGTACCCCAGAGCGAAAGACAAAACGATTTTTTGACGATTATCATGAGACACATGGTATGGATGATTGCAATGGTTTAGAGGAGATTGATGATGGAGGAAACTATTATTGAGCCATTATTTTATTATTTTGTCACCTCAGCTGTTAATCGAGCTATTTGATCATCGTTGAGGCCCGGCTTCGTTTCATCATCTTCTGTTGAGTCGTCGTCATCATCTTCTTTAGATGCCTCTCCATCGACGCTCTCACCATTGACGCCATCTTCTTCGCCATCATCATCCTCGTCATCATCGTCGTCGTCATTATCGTCGTCGCCGTTATCTTTCCCTTCCAGAATAGAAATATCTTCTAGATCATCTTCATTCTCGTTATAACCTGAAATTATATAAAAATGCATCGGCATGAATGTAATGGTGCTCGTTGTTATAAAACTAGGCTCGTTTATCCTCCCTCGATCTAGCACATGCAGATATCATGACATAAACAAAAACTTAGATTTAAGGCAAAATATAAATTATTATTTTGCTCCCTTTTCATTGTTTGTACATGTAGATAGGTAACACATCACCATTAATTTTGAATCTTCATCTTTTTTCACATTACTTTACTTTACCTTATTTTCCTAATACCTTTTGAATCATGAGTTAGAGAGACAAAAATCAAAATGGAGGTTGTCAAAAAAACCTCACAATCACCATGATCGCATGACAAGTTTTAAATTTGTTTCGAATTTGATGAAAAGTGACGCTATAAAGACCTTCATGGTAAAAGAATTTTGTCTGTCACTTACCATTGTTTCCAGAGTCCTGTGGAAGAAATGACTCGCCATCAACATCATCCACGGCCTCATCATTGTATATCACGCTTTCATACACGCCACCATTCGCCTCGTCGTCGTTGGGTTGGACGTCGTCCGTGTTATAGTACGACGATTCACTCTCCTCCCCGGTGTTGTCATCCTCGTCGTAATCGAGCGGACGTTCGATGTGGACATCGTCGGAGGTATCTTGCGGTGTTTCCTTTGCACTTGATCCGGGGACATCGAGTCCTGACGTCGGTGATTCCTGTTCCAGATCGGTCAGCGTATGTGCGCTGTCTCGGTCACGTTGTGGTACTGTTCCTGAAAACCATCAGAGAGAGAGAGAGAGAGAGAGAGATTGTTAAATTTCACAAAAGTTCACAAAAGTTCATACAGCTCTTAAGGTTCGTAGTGATCGCCTATACAAAGCAAATAAGTCTTCTTTTTTTTACTAGCATGATATAGCTTCATAAACGCAAACAAAGATGTTTTCCGAAAGTTTAGTCACAAAAATGGAACATTGAATAAACAAGAGACGAAAATACCAGGCAATGTGGTAGCTATTTTAGTTGTTATCTTGGCATTTTGCTTCTGCGATATTGCAAGAGCAAACAAGCGAATCTTGTTCGGGAGGAAATAAATTATTCATAGCTACATGTGTAACTTTGAACTGTTCAGGTGTTTGTTCATCATTGTTTCTTTTTGCGGTAACAATGTGTTTTCTGGGGTGTTATTTTTAAACTACTCATCAAAATACGGTTTACACGATTTTCTCCCCGAAATGAAATATGCATTTGTTGAAACACATAACTTATTTATAACGAAAGAATCGACACGTGATACACAAGTAATGGATGTCCCAAGATTATATTCACTCGTTGGACAAAAGACAAGCCCATGGGCAATGTTTGGTTGACATTACTTCTCGGTAAATGACATCAGCAAGGTTTTACCCCAAAAGCAATATAATACTTTGAAACTCCTACAAAGACGTTCCCATTGCGGCCGTTATCCCTCTTCAAAACTCGTTGATGAAGGTTTTACCCTCAGATGACCATTGCGCAAATATTCCCGCACTGTCATGTTGTGAGAAGGGCTATACGCGCTTGAGACGGAATATCCGTCACTTTGGTCAGAAGGCTAGAGTGGGGACACATCTCTTCATGTTTCTCCGTGAAATGTCACTTGCTGGTACACGGTTCATCAGGAGGATATTTGTTGAGTGGTCCATTGTGACGAGCTTGGCCGGCGACCACTACACAAATTACCTGCGGACTTGTGACATCTACAGGAGGACATCATGACTTGCAAAGTGACGAAACTCTCTCCATTATTACTCTCGAGGGTGATGATATATGGTATGTCGAGCTAAATCGCACTTGGTCAGTAACCTCTCTTCTTAACAATGGCTTCTTTTTACTCTTCTTCTGGTCACGTGACAAGCTATACATCATCTTCAAGCAGGAGCATCTCCAGAGGGGGGACGGGGGGGGGGGGGGGGTGACACCCATCAAAGTTTCGATTAGAAAACTCATAATTGATGTCATAAAAAATGATTCAATTGGAAGATCAAATCTCATAATAATTAATTTATCTTACTTTAGCTTACTCTATAGAACTTCTATTACCCATGTCGTCACAGTGGAGTATATTTGTTTGTAAATTTGTCAAATTCGGTCCCGACACCCTCCCCCAAATTACTGATATTTCATTCGAAGCCTAGAGAAACTGTCAACTGTTGTTCACTACTTCATAATATTGATAGCTGAAAATCCTCATTGCAGTCAAGCAACTGCACTTTAGGAAAGAAAATTATCATTTACTTTGACCCAAATAGAGGCAATCCAAACAACATATTTCGAACATTCAAAATCACCTTTGAAAGACGAAGGGGAAGGATGCGTGGATGCACAACGGAAAACAAGAATATACTCGGCAGTCAACAAAGCTTACGTCAGTTAATCAATGGGATGTGCTCCCCAAGTTCACCAATTATTTTCCCCAGGAGCAGCTGCCAACCCAAGACTTAAGACGCCAGTATGTCTTGCCGCCAGATTCACCTTGTAATAATAATAAAAACAGATCCTTTCTATCTCTTAGGATGATGTCTGCTCATTTCCTGACTAGAGACAATAACAAAGGAGGTAAACCTCAGGTAGCCGATGACCTTTTATCACTAGGCGGAAGAACACATTAGGTGATTATTGAATGGGAATCCGTAACTTAAGGGCTGGAGGATTGTCTTTCGTATCATGAGGCAACCCGTTCCTGTCTTCCCCCATGCCACTTAATAACGAAACACTTCATTGTATTCAACATGGTGTTGTATTATCAACCCGTTAGGGTGAAACGGGGTCGTATGTATCTTCCCCACTGGCAATCCAACTTCTGCGTACTTCCTCTTTGTTCCAGTTCCTTGCCCTCTTCAGTTTCTTTATTACTCAACGTAATTTTTAACCTCCACCATCGCCTAGCGGTGTTTTATTTTCTTATATGCAGAGGTCTTGTTTCATGACTTGTTTACAATTTAGATTATTACATAGCTTTCTCTTAGCTTCCCCCTAGAACCATGACTGTCCCCCTCTTCTCTCTCTCTCTCTCGACGTCAAACATCATTTACCTTCCCCATCGTCAGGGCGTGCATCATGTAGGGGTAGCAGTCAATTTTGTTGGGAATTTTATGTCTGTAAAGTGGGGTAGGGGTAGCGTAATGGAAAGATAATTGTCTGACAAAAAGAACTTGTGTAACAAAAATCTGATTCAAAACCCTCGAACTTCTTTTTCTCACTTTTCAATTTTGTTTCCTTTGAATGTGATTATTAAGCAAGCTCTTATAGCTCTCTCTCTTTTTTCTCTCTATTCCCACCTCTTTTCCCCTTTATCTTCTATTTCATCTATTATCTACCTCCTCTTTCTCTCTTGAGACATCTTATGCGTCTTCTTGACATGAAGATCGTGTTTCAAGTATAATTTTTCGGGGGATTCCCTTATTTTTTATGGAGACATCAGTTAATGATCAGTATAATATAGAATTAATTCTTTTGTTTGGGATACTGCGGCAATATTAAACCTCAACTTCTTCGTGTTCGTCAGTAGTATTACTAATAAAAGAATAATTCGATGGATATCAGCTATGAATAAGGTGACACAAAGTGTTTACTATTTCTTTCTTCAGCTCTATAACTATATGTCTGAAGAAAATCATAATCAGATCATCATCTTATATCAATTTCATGTGGGTGAAAGGATTCGATGACATTAATTCTTGTATCATAACTACAGACAGCCTTACTTTCGAATATACTCAATGATACGCTATGAAATATTTTTGTTAGATTTTCAAAGGAATGGCCATGTTTTATGGATAACGCAGGTTGGTTACCATGTTGCCATGGAAACGCTTGTAACGATTTGATGACGAGATGAGTCGTGGCGAGACGTCCCACGGCAATTTGCAGATAAATCAACCTTGACAATTCCTAAGAACCATGTACCCCAAGGCGACGCCCTCGGACCAGTCGTGGTTATACCGCTTCTTGAATATCCACCTACGCCCACAGTTAGTGTAACAGATTTGGTCAAAGGGAACTGGAGCAGGGATGCAATTTGCTTCCAAGGTGATTAAACTTTGATATTTTGTCTTCCAAGATTAAATTACGGAGCGCACCTGAGTTTTTTTTTCTGGTGTGATAGTCAAGTTTAAACATTTGATTTGATATCTGCTGCATGTAATCAAGTTTTATCATCAAAATCTATATGATGCATCTGTAGACAGAGAACGCCTACATCATCACAATTGCATCAAATAAGATGCAAATGCGGGATGCAGAGAGAGAGAGAGAGAGAGAGAGAGATAAAGAGAGAGAATAGAAAATGAGGACGAGGAAGAAGGGGAGGGAGATTGTGATTTAGTTAGAATACATATAATGAGGAAGATGGGTAAAGGGAATGAGTGAGAGAGGGAGTATCCGAGGACGTGGAAGACGAGGAGGAAGATATGTATTATATATATTTAAACATTTGAGAGAGGGAGAGAGAGAGAGAGAGAGAGAGAGAGAGAGAATAATTAGGATGTGAATGGGGTCATTATTGGGGGTTTCACAGGCATAATAAGAAACAGGCCTATGGTGTAATAATGCTGCCCGACAGACCAAATTAACCAAGAGAAAAAAGATTAAAAACCTGATGCAAAAGACCATTCAACTTAGCGGTTTAACCAAAATTATGTCCTTAAAATCGTGCATGCATTGGTACATTTATCACCGTAGCATACCAGGGTTTGTTAATTCACACAACCAATGCTATGACACCGTCTCTTGTCAGGTTGTCAATGATACCAAGCTAATGCATCGACTTGATGACGTCACGCTGTTAAGCCGAGCCCAGGTGCTTCCATGGACATAGTTATAAGAGATAACGAGGTGCCTCGGTACATTAGTCCCTGGGCAATGGTTTTATTCTTTACAACGTCAACGGAGAGTGATATACACAGCGTCGATTTCTATCAGTCACACCCGGTTAAAGTTCTCCAGATCTGAAAATGACGAAACGTTAAACCACTAACAGCATAAAATCCAAGCCAAACATAACATAATAAAAACAACGAGAACATAAAAAAACAAAAAAAAACGAAAGAGCAAATGAAGTAGAAAATTGCATTAAAAAATAAGACTACAATGTATGGTAGCTGAGTATTTTGCGCATAAAAAAAATTGAGGAAATCGAAATTATGCACGAGTCTAGCTGATCAAATCATGTAGTTCCATATTAGGCATACGTCGTTTATTTTATTTTACTTTTGTCTCTTCAGCAGCAGCCTGTACAAGTCTGATAAAAAATAGTTGATCAATAATTGAAGATTAATTGTAAGTACGATTTCTTTAAAACGAAATTCGAAATAATCTTGATAGAAATTATTTTAAAGTAAACCATGTTTATTCTTTAAAAAGAAATATTGTAAATGGGTCCATTCAGAATAAACTGTGCGTCACTCATGAGCCATAACTTTCTTTAATTACTCTGAGTTCACTAAAAGCCCACATTAACCTTTTTTACAAAGCTTTAAGAAAATTCATTTCCTTTGAAATAGCTTACTACCCGCTGAAGTTGCATGATATAGAGGCATATTTGCTTTCCTTACAAAAACTCTAAATAATCTTAATCAGAATTTGTTCACTTAATCTCAAAAAAAGCAATTTCAGATGTTCTAGAAGTTTTAGGTGTGGCAATGAGATGAAAAGGATAAGACCTAAAAGAAAATTACTCATTCGTGAGCAGAAAAATGTTTCAATTAATATTGAGTCGTTTAGGTCTTCGTCCTT